CAGTGTCCCTTTTTGCAATTCTATCCATTTACATGAAAATTTTGTTATTTCATTTTTCTTTACAGATAGTAATATTCCATTATGTACATGTATCATGTTTTCCTTATCCACTCATGTGTTACAGATAGACACCTTGGTTGACTTCAGTTGTTAGCTATTTTGAATTCTATGAGCATGCATGTGCAGGTATCCTTGCAGTAGGATATAAAATCCTTTGGGGATACACCCAGGAGTGATATAGCTAGGCAATATGGCAATTGAAATTTATTTACTCATTTATTTTAGAAACATTCAGACTTGTTTCCACAGTGGTTGATGTAGTTTATCTAGTTTATCACCTAACTTACAGGCATGAGGGATCTGTTTTCCCTACCTGGACACTATTATTTGTTGTAATTTGTATTTCTGATCTTGGTCATTCTGCCTGGGGTGAGATGGCAGAATCTCTCTCTCTCTCTCTCTCTTTTTTGAGACAGGGTTTCTCTGTGTAGCTTTGGAGCCTATTCTGGCACTCACTCTGGAGACAAGGCTGGTGTAGAACATATATGGTGTAGAACATATATATAAAATTTTAAGGAACTTGATCAGAATTACTCTTCAAGTGTGACTCCAAAAAGATAATGAATATTTTAGTGAAGAGCTCAGATACCTCCATATGAGTTATTGGTCATGGAGTCCATAGAAACAAAACACACTGTTCCCATTGCACTTGGTTGACCATTATAACTAAATGGTTTTACACTATTACCGAAGATACCACTCATTTGTATTACAAGACAGAGAAATCAACCTTAACAGGCCAGCAAACTCTCACCTTGCTTGTTAGCTAGCACGGTGCCAAACATGCTACTCATTCTGGTGGAGGAGAAAAACATTGCTGTTTGTACTCAGCAATGGACTCTCAATGATATAATACTATAATACAAGCTTGATGGCAAAATGTACCTACTGGTACAATCCTGGCATGATATTTATGGAGATAATCAACCACTTTCTGATTGAATATCAGGCCTGCTCCATAGGAGTGATTTCATGCCTGCTATATAATTCTGGTATAAAACCCATGACTGTGAAGATAATAGGTCCAAGGGGGAAACCTACTGCTGTATTGTTAAATGACCATGCTGTCAAACCATAGTCTGAATATTTATGTGTATACCCATAGATTTGTGCTGCTCTCAACTGGGGTCTGAGAAGCTTCTTTCTTGCAGTGGATGAGTGCAGAGACTCACACTTGTCAAAGGGTCGCGTATAGATAACAGTGAGGGTTCTATTGTAGATTGGCCACCTACATCAATCTCCCACTGAAGAAGATTCAAGGAATATCAAGGAATAGGGGAAAGAAGGGATGGAAGGGACAGTGTAAAGAGAAGAGGCATTGATGAAATGTTGACTTCTGGACATTATGGCTATTGCACACAGAATCACAGCAGCTGTGATTATCAGCCCAAGATCACTCCAGGCACAATTCTACTGTAGATGGGGAGACTCCCTAAGGCCTCATCCATGGCAGGGGATCTATTGGCAGTTGGTGTCTGCTAAGTGCATACCATTCATCTTTGGAAAAATGCTATTGATAGATTTCTCATACTCCTGTGGATGGGCACATGATCATAAACATATGGGCAGCACTAATCAAACTCGGGAAGCAAATAATAATAATAATAATAATAATAATAATAATAATAATAAAGAAGAAGTTAAGATTTTGGGGAGGAAACAGGGTACAGGGATCTAAAGGTATGTGAGGGAGGTAGTGGTGGATGCATATGATCAAAATGTCTTTAGCTATGTTAACCTTCCAAAGAATCAGGAATAGACAAGAAAGTTGAATGACCAGTAAGCATTTTAAAAAGTTTTCAATAACCCTAACCATCATGGAAATATAAATTAAAAATACTTTGAGACTCCATCTCATCTCAGGCAAAATAGCTATCATCAAGAAAACAGATGACCACAAATGTGGGCAAAGATGTGGGGAAATGTTGTTTACTCGTTGCTGCTGGAGTGTATAGCAGCCACTATATGTGTAGCACAGCCACCATGAAAATCACTATGGAAATTTCCCCTAAACTTGAAAGTAGAATTGTCATCTAAGCCAGCTATGCCACTCCTGCACATGTATTGAAAGGGCTCACTATTCTACTCCAGAGACACATGCACAACCATCTTCACTATAACTCTGTACACAGTAGCATGGATATGCAACTAACTTCGATGTCTATTGAAAGTTAAATGGATGGTGAAAATGTGGTTTATACATACAATAGAATTTTCCTATGAAGTAAAATTATGAAATTTATAGTTAAAGGAAGAACTGTATGTTATTTATATTAAGAGAGGTACCCAGGCTAAGAAATACAAATAACCATGTAATATCTCTCACCATACATCTTAATAGTCTCTCTCTCTCTCTCTCATCCTAAAACACCTGGAGCATCCTTTAAAATCAGGTGGAAATAGCATCTCCCAAGAGTTCATGCCCTTTTCATAAATACTGAGTAAGCTTCTCATGGACATGACACATATTTATTTATGACTTCAATATTCCAAATGGGTTGCTCTGGCCCATGTAAGTCATAACTATGACAACTAATAAGCACTGCATTCAAATACAAGACATAATGGTTTGAGCAAAATAATCAAAGCCAGAGCCTCACAACTTCCTTAAATCCCTTATTAAAACCATCTGCTTTCAAGGTCCTAGTTTTCTTGGCCTCTAGGTGGTGGTGGTCTCCAATGTGACAATATGCTTTGGAAGTCATTCTTCCATTATCTTGATAACTAGCTTCTGCCTTCCTTATAACTATACTAATTTCTTTATCAAATATTCATTTGATGCCCTTTTTCCTCCCACATGAACACTCCTCTTCATTATTTATCAGCTGACGAGCCTGAATATTTTCTAAACTTTTTGTTTGGTTCTGCATCCCTTTTGACTATAAATTACATCTTTAATTCATTTCTTTCCTCTCACACTTTCCAGTAAGCTGCCAAGGGAAGCCATACAGAACTCTCAAAACTTCCTAGAGAGTTCTACTGCCAAAACCTCAAATTTCATTGCTCATACATCCCTCTTTCCAAACAACTTTAGGACATAGGCACAATTTGGCCACACTTTTTGCCACTTTATAACAAGAATGTTTTCTTGGCTGGTTTCTAACACTGTGTTTTTATTTGGGTCTGCGATCCTAGAACTGCCTTTGCTGTGTGTATTATTTCAATGCTGTGACCACAATTTCTTCTGTAATGCTCAAGGAGATTAAGTCTCTGCCCACAGTTTTTTTGTTTTTTTGAGACCTTAACAGAATAGCCCTGTATGGTCCAACTTCTATCACTGCCTACCTCAAAGCTGATTACACATTTGGAGGAGGACATTTTAAAAACTGTTCTTTTCAGTTTTTGAACTTAAAATGCATTTATAGCAACTTCTCCCTCTTTTTTCCTCCCTCCATTGAGTCCTGTATACCCTGTTCCTTGCTTTCTCGAAAAACCATGGTCTCTTTTTTTCTATCAAATATATAGAACATATGCAGTTCACATACGTCAGACAGTCCAGTCCAGTCTGCCATGGAGAATACCTAGTCCACCAGGAGTCTTTCTATTTTCATAACAGTTCTGGGGTTGAGAATGGTAAGATGTCGATAGCATCAGTGTATAGTAAGGGCATGCCTTTCCTGTCTACCACCTCTGGAAAGGAAGAGGAGACTGCTGTGCCTTCACAGTCAGAGTGGACACGGAGGGTCCGAAACTCCTTTCATATTGGCATTCATCTGAGTCATGACACAAAGCCCCTGTGGTTCACTCACCTTCTAAGAGACCTAACTCAGTGCCATCATCTTGAAGTTTAAGTTTTAAGGTAGGAAATTTGGGTACATCCAAACAGTAGAAAGGACCATGAACACCAAGAACATTAAAAAGTAGACTGTGCTATGAAGAACAGCATGAAAAGTCCTTATAAGACAAAACTGAAGGGTCTGTTTCACATTAGTAGCTACAAAAGAGGAGCATAAAGATAGAATGTAAGAGAAGCAGTAGAGCAAGGCTAGAATAAAGACTGTCCCAAGCTCCACACACTGAAGGAATTAGTACAGGCAGGTATGGTAGCTGTCAGCAGAGAAGGCAGTTTGAATTTGTCTGGGGCATCATTGCAGCATGGCCGGGAAGGGGTGCTGTGAGTGACTCAGAAAAACTTGTGCTTAAAGGGACACATTAAAGACTACTTGGCCTCTTTAAAGGCAACAGAGACAGTGGGAACTTCTTTAAAAACACAGATGGCAATTCCCTTTATTACAATATCGAGGAGTGAAGCCACTCAGGACGCTAAGGCTGGAAGGTGGCAAATTCAAGTCTAGCCTGAACAACATCAGCAACATCCTGTCTCTAAATACAATTAACAGTTCTGGAAAAATTCAGTGGTGAAGTACCTTCCTAACATATTCACAGCTTAGTCCTAAATAAATAAAACACAAAGCATAAGGAGAGCTGCTAACCAGCATTAAGACACAGATGGAAAGAAGCCTAGGGGTAGAGAGGGCACTGCTAAATTTCTGTGAGTGTCCCAAAGCGGGTGATGTGGTCCTTGGCAACCCATTGAAGCCTATCTCACCAGGAGTTTCAACAAAACCAAATAAGCTAGGGAATGATCTCTAAACTCCATTCTGTGACCAGGCAGATGGCTCAGCATTTAAGCATTTTTCTGTGCAAGCAAGAGTACCCAAGCTCAGATCCCAGAGCACATTTAAATGCTTTGTGGATGTGGTGACCTGTTCATAATTGAGACCAGGATGATGGACAGAGAGTTATCTGAGTTAGTGAGCTAGGAAGCCTACCAGTCCTTATCAGAGAGCTCTATATTTGTTTAAGAAGTTATATCTCAAATAATGAGATGAAAGCATGATCTAGGAAGATTCCTAACATGAATTCCACATGCTCACATGTGTACATATACCTCACTCATGCATAGGCCCATTCACATACTTAATGGCATGTGCACGTACCATGCACATGGGGGGGAGAAACTCCAATTCCTCTCTGAACACTGGAAGAAGACATAAGACTGCAAAAGAAAGTACACAGATCAAGTATTATCCTAAGAAATTGCAGTCACTGTGGCCATCGAGTAAATGCAGTAGCTATTTGCTTTATCCACAGTGATCCAAGCTAGCTAAGTCATCTCCCAACAGAAAAACTGGGTCACCTGGTGCTAATCTTGAACCATATTGATTTTCTGCTTTAACAATAACAAAAAGGATTGGGCCATACTGGGCAGATAAATCCTTTCATGGCTCCTGGATATCTAACCTCTCTCAGAACAAAACCAGACAGTTAAATAAAACATTGTGAGGAGCAATATAAAAGAGGGGAAAAAACACCTCTGACTATAGTATAAGGGAAGACCTCAGAGTTAAAATTGAGACTGAAGTCGGGTTTTTTGTTTGGAAGAGTCACAAAAGAGAAAAGAATAGCACAGACAGGAGGAAGTAACCACATGTAAGGGAAGGCAGAGAGGTGACAGCAAGCTTGAGAGTCAAATTCTCATACAGAATTTAATGGAGCTCTTCTCACCCACAGTGAAAAAGGCTACAAAATTGGACCCATAGGTCACCACAGGTCAAATAGTAGAGCCCGGTATGTCATGTCAAGAACTGCATCATTTTCAGATGCCACTACACAAAGATCTTTTTCCTCCTAATATATGATTCCATTTGTGTTTAGAAAAAGTTATTATGTCACAGTGATACTTTATTTTTAGAGAAATTACAGAAGCAGGAAAATATGCTAGGATATTGTGGAAAGAAAATTTTAAAAACTTGAATGGAAATGGAATTGGAGAAATAAATGCAAGGCACTTGGTCCAAGCAAGTGGGTAGTTTGGATCTTAACTATGCCTCAAGCCAGTGTGTCACTTAGTGTTGCCAGGAAAAGGTAGAAACTTTTGCAGATGGAGCATAAATTGAGGGAATAGGTCATCGAGAGTGTGTGCTTCAGTGTCTACCAGGACCCTGGCCCCATTTGTTTCTTTTTCCTCGCTCTCATCATGATGCATTTTTTTTGCCATGTGTTCCAACATAATGCTCTACTTTATTCCATGCCTGAAGCAATGTGGTTAAGTTCCCATGTCCAGTGCATGAGACAAATAGACCTTTCCTTTTTGCTAGCAGTGGAAAGTTCATAGCACAGTGAAAAGCTCCATATTTGCCATAAAGGATAGTGGGATGCTGAATCTATGGTCTTTGTCAAAGAATTACAGATAAGCAACTAGAAACAAAACCTCCTGAAAACATTTCCTGGTTATAGTGGGAAATTATCAATACGGAGTCAGGTAGAAATATAAGGGTATTTAATAGGGAAAAGCCTTACTTACAGAGCGACCTAGCCAGCCAGCGTGGCAGCAGTCTGTATGCAAGTCCAAAAGAGAAACCGAAAGCGAAAACGCAGTCACCCTACTCACCTCAAAAACTTTCGAGGGCGTGGTCAGGCACATCTGTAGCCAGCCCCTAAGTAGGCGTGGCTACAGCGTCCCCTACATCTGGTGTCATTTTTTTCTGTATTAATGGCATTTTATTCATTCAATATTTAGAACACCATGCCTAGCTATTTATTAGTATGAGGAAAATATTAACCAATGATTGCCTCTCATAGCAATGAATCCAATGTCCATTTCCTCAAGCAGAGAGGAAATTAGAGGTCTCGTGTAAAGAGACTCAAATAATTTGTTAGATAAAGACAACAAACACAATTTGAAAAACACAAAGCATAAGGTATGTAAATTGCTGTGTTAAAAGCCAACCTATGAAAATAGGACAGGAAATGAGATAGTTGCTGACTGCTCAGTATGTATGCCACAGCAAGTATACAGACACGAAAGTCCCTTCCTATGCCCGCTAGGCTGGGGATACCTGTGGACCTGCCTCCATTTTGGGATCTTCCTCTGATTAATGCATGGGGGTAGATATTTTAAGCACATGCTCTCAAGTGTATGATAATGAATCAAGCATAGTGTAGTAAGTAGGTTTTAAAGAAGTACCCAAGGTCCAGAGAAAATGAGAGATGGACCCTAGGCTATGGCTTACTGTTAAGATGCTTTTCCAACACAACAGAGGCCATGGACTTGATCTTCAACACCAGGAATGACAAAGGGGAATTGTAAGCATTGATATTATGTCTATATGGAGAATGGCAAAGAAATAAGTAGATTGATAGAAGAGAATTGTGTGACCAATAAAGTCACTAACAATGAGTGAAAAGCTGACTGATGCATCTAGTAGTAGCCAGAGCAATTGATGGCACTGAAGGGACCAGTGCCCCTTTCGGCAGCCATAACAGCCGAACACGTGTTTGTCTGACCTTCCCTTGGTCACTAGGAAGTCAGATGCCTGCCTTGTGGCAAGGAACCAATCAGAAGTTAGCTTTATGGCTCTGGGTGTGCTTTATGGACACATGCACAGCAATGAGGCACAGAGCATAGCAACCACCCTGGGAGGGCCTATAGGCCATAACAACCAGTTGACCAATCAACACAGGGCAAACCCTCCAAGCCTGGAGGCACACCAATCCTGAGCCTGTGTGTACCCCTAGACACTCCCCTTATGCTGCCCTACAAGATCTCTATGCAGCTGCTTCAACTGTCTTTTGTAGCCGTCCGCCATGGTGGATGGATGAAAGACCCGAGCTAACATGGGGTTAGCTCGTTAAACAACAATAAAGCCTCATGCAGTTTGCATCAAGCTTTCGAATCCGAATGGTGATTGGGGTGGCCGAGGTCCTGGGCTGAGATCCTGGAGGCCTGAGCTTCCAGGGGTCTTACAGCACAATTCTGTATCATTTTTGGAACACTGATATTTGAAAGCCATATCTCCTGTGGTTTTCCAACTAGAAACTCATGCTTTGTATTGGCCATGGTGGCACATGGTTGAACTCCCTCATCCAAAAGTCTGAAGCAGGCAGATTAAAATTTTGAGCCAACCTTGAGCAACAGAATAAGGATGTCTAAAAATCCAAGCATGGAAGAAAGAAACAGACCAAGACAGAGACAGACATGGAGACTTCTGTGGTCAAGCCTATATCAGTCCCATGTTATAGAGGCCATCTATTCCAGATTGATGTCTTTGACGCTGCAAAAGGAACCAGCTGAACAGTCCCAACCCTGAGTGGGGGAGTATGGATCCAGAAACTCCCAGCTACCCAACAGCGTTAATGACTAGACAGAGATATCTTCGCTTCTCAGGAGGGCTCTTAGTCCATGCTAGAGTTCATGGTTTATTCAAACATCCTCTTAAGTAGCTTTCCAAAAGTGGGCATACAGGCAGAAGACATCTATTATCATGTATAAAGCTGATACCAAATATTTCCTTTAATCCTCAAGATAGTCCTAGAAGGCAGGTACACAAGCCCTCAGACATTCTCCAAGGGCACATCTCATTAGTCCCTTGCCAGTCTTCAGGCATGTTCCACCAGCCACCCAGGGGCCTAGGTCTTTTGTTAAACAAACTAGAAAACATTCTCCACCAAGGCCAGGCACCAGGGGTAGGGGGCTAGGGGGTGGGGATTGAGGAGGTGGGGGGGTGGTGGTGGTGGGGGTAGGCATCCAGTGGTAATCAGCCAGCATCTGAAAGACAATGGAAGATTGGAGTTCCTGGAATCCAGCTCTGGTTTGTATCCAAAGTATCATAATTGATCTTTAGGCCCTGAAAGGAGACAGATAAAGGAGCTCTTCTAAATTGGAATTCATAAAAAGTGAAATCCTTGTCTTGGTTGCCTTTATATGGTCCAGTTTACACCTTTAGGAAAACTGAGTTCTCTAAGGGGCAAACCCATGGAACCGAAAGCAATGCATTGTAAGTGTGCTTGCTATTACAAGTAAAATGAAATCTTCCTGGAGATGACCCAGATCTCTGAATTTCCCATTTCAAGGTCCCTTAGCTGGCTCATAATCATGAAGGTGTATTGATAGAGAGGTAAATAACCAACTTCTCCATCTTGTATGAGTTTCAACATTCACAATGTTATTTCATCATGAAGACTGGCAAGGTCTCGATTTATTGGGGCTCAGAGTGGGCTTATATAGCCCTGCAATGAGGAAGTTAGGCAAGGGGGGGCAATAGCAGGAAGGAACCTCTGATATTTGCTGGGGCTGGGACATTCTTGCAGTATCTTCGAAACAGCAGGCAAAAAAGCCCCTCGCCTTTTCTCGGAACAGCATTCGTTAGCAGTCCCGCTTGGCCAAACGAATCTAATTATGGGTCACATGAGGCTCACAGGGTTGGGCCTTAAGCCGCAAACTTTAAAGGTCATAAAAAGCTTACAAAAAGTGGGCTTTAGACAACATAGCTTTGGGCCGATGGCCCGTTACAGTGGTCCAGGTGACTCAACTTCCAAGAAACTTGGGACAATGTAGACTACAACAGCCAGGATTTGGACAGGTTTCTTGGTTGTCTCAGGATCCCATGGTATGGACATCACTTCCAACCAGCAGGAAGTAGTTTAGAATGAACAACGCCCAAATTCCCATGTATTTTTTTTAATAAAAGTTTGTTTTCATTTAAATTGAGTTGGTTATAAATTGTTAATGATCACAGTCAATCTCTTTTTAAAAGAAAAAAGGGGGTTATGATATAGAAATGAATATTTTGTATTGGGATGGGTTTTGATTTATTGATACAAATTTAAGGCTTATTTTTCTATCTGTGTATTTCTCCTCTTCTTTAGGTATTGTGTTTATACAGATCATTTAAAAATGCAATGTATAATTTTATATAGATTATATATAGTCACCTATAAGTCAATAGTTAGGTTAGCTAGGTTTTCTAGATATACAGTGATATATTTCAAATGGATAGATATTATTCAAACCTTTCAAAGACCTATAGAATATAGCATTTAAAATTGTTTAGTGTTTTTCATGACAGTGAGACACAACTGCTCCAGGCAACACCAATCACTTCAGAGTGGGAGATGGGTATTGAAGAAACTCATTATGGAATTTGCCTGCAACATGGGAGAAATAGCCATTTGGGCAAGAAATTGCTCTTGCCTGGACTGTTTGACTGTATGCTGTCCAAACTAGACATAGGAAAAGTGACTGCTGAATTTACCAAAACAAGATGGGTTCCCACTTCATGTAAGACTGCTGGGCATTCTGCAGAACACAGAGAAAAATGACTGATAAAATGCCAATACAGGTGGGACAATTTCAAATTTCCTGCTTTGCTGAGAAGTCTGCCAGACATATGATGGCCTATGGACTGAAGACAGATGCTCCAACATTTACAGAGAAACTTTGGGTGACTCTCCAGGCAGTGAGATGTCTCTGTCAATTCTGGAGTTTCTATATTATCCTTCTGTAGTATTTGATGTAGTTAAAAACAGATAGTAATGGTTATAGTTTCATTATTTATGATAAAAGATAAGTTACATATAAGACTTTAGACTCACAAAGATAGAATAGATGTTAGAATATTTTCTTTAAATTTTGCCAGATGTTAATAGACTAAATATTATAATTTTAGTTCTTGCTTAATAACTGTTTTTGTTACATATAATCTTACTATGTTAAAGTTGAAGCCCCCTTTTTTATTTAGACAGAAAAGAGGAGATGATGGGGGATGCCCCTCCTATGTATATATTTCTCTTATTGGTTGATAAATAAAGCACTGTTTGGCTAGTAGCCAGGCAAGAAGGATAGGCAAGGCTACCAGATGAGGATATTTTTGGGAAGTATAGTCAGAGAGGAGTTATCATGTGAGCCCATGAAGGGAAGATGTGAATCAGGCATTCTACGGGAAGCTAAGACCATGTAGAAATATATAGATTAGTAGTTATGGGTTAATAATTAAGACAGAGATAGCCAATAAAAACCCAAGCCACTAGCCAACAGTTTCATAATTAATATAGTGTCTGTGTGTTCATTTGGGACTCAAGGGCTGAGTGAACTGCACAGCCAGAAAACTCATTCTTATAGTACAAAATTGTAACAGCACCCCTGATATAGTTACTAGTAGTTGATAATATGTAGTTTCAAGATGTCTATTTAGGATCTGGAAGATGAGTCCCAGTAATCATATGATTGCTATGCATGAAAACAGATTAGCTGTGCATCTCTGTGATCAGCAACCAGGTCACACAAGCCTTTGTCATCAATACTTCCACACATGAAATTTCCTTTCAGAACAGAAGCTGAAAATAGCAGTAATTGATGGGTATGCAAAAAAAATCGCTAAAAGGCAGTCATCCATGCATGTGTCACATCCATCTAACAAAACATTAACAGTTGTGTTCACATTGGAGCCTATGACTTCTGTAGTCATGTGCTTTTGTTTTGGCTTACACTACAGGATGTCAGTTCCTTCTCATGGAACAGGTCTTAAAACCCATCAAATGGCAGTTGGTGGTATTCTAGCACTATAAA